GGGGAATCATTTTATGAATATGACATGAATTATTACTATTCATTATGGCTCACTCATCTCACTCTTTTCCTTCTCTTACGCTATATTTCTTGGGTGTGATTCATTGACAAATTATGATTAAATATCCTAAAATGTGTGGTGAGCATAGAAATGACGACCGAAAACCATGCCTTCAACCTACACATCAACAAAGTGTCCAATCAAACAACAACGTGTCTCGATTTCAATCTGACTGGAATCCACACCACTTGATAGAAGTGGGATTCAAATTTACCAACAACTGAGATGAGTACAAAGCTTTTCTTGCTAGGCTACGGTTCAACTATGAGATGTCCTTTTGACTCCTTCCAAAGAAATATGATTTACAATTGGTGGTGAATCAGTGAACTGGCAATTCAAAGCCATAGATGAAATGATGATCAAGTACCCCGGTAAAGCTAAAACAGAGATAGAGAAATTCGAAGGCTTCATAATAGAGCATATTTCTCAAGTGAACAACCAAGTTGCAGACCTTCTATCCAAGTGCATTCGCTTGGAAGAGGGGACACCCCAAAGGCTCTTTCGACCAATCATTGAAGAAGCTCAATTGATGAAGCTGGGAGCACAAGGGCTAAAGAGTATGATGGACCCGTATATTTTCTATTTTGAGACTGGGAAGGTCTCAGAAGAAGTAACCGATATGAAACACATCAAAATCAAGGTTGACCAATACCTTTTGATCAAGGGAACACTTTTCTGGAAATTAATCACATCATTGTATCTATGGTGTACCAAAAAAGACGAGGCAAAATATGTCCTCTAGGAGGTCCGTTTAGGGGAGTACGTGAGCCACTTCGGACAAAACTTTGGCACACAGAGTGGAACGACAGAGATATTAATGTTGAAAACTTTAAAAGTATACCAAGGGATTCTTAAGATGTGAATAGTATAAAAAAATATGCACCACTGCGGCTCCAAAGTTGCAAAAATTTATGCTTGTTATTATGTATTACTTCTCTAAGTGGATTGAAGCGAAGACACTCGCTCAAATCACACAAGGATCTGAAGCCTAAGGGTGGGATCAAAGACACAGGTCTCCTGCAATCGATCCACCTTCCTCAAAGTCATCTACGATAAAATCATTCGCTATGACCGACCCGAAGACCTTTGGCGAATATTTCAGAGTCAACAAGCAGAACAAAGAAAAAGAAAAGTTGAGAGAACTAAGAGAAGAGAGAAGAAAAATGTAGAGTAAAGTGTAACATCACCTACCTCACACCCCTTATATATAGAGAAATACAAGAAGATGAACTGTTGTACATGGGTAAATCAACATAGAAAATGAGATAAAAAATAAATTTTATTCCAAAAAGGTATATTAAAAATTACAAAAAAGAAAGCACTAAAAAACTAGCTCGAGATAAAATACTTTACAAGAGGGGTGGTCGTTGTTTCAACCGAGACATACATCTGAAGCAGCCTTTATACAAAATTCTCTGCTAACTAAACTGGTTCAATTGGTATGTCTTGGCTTGAGTTTGGAGTAGACCTGAGCATTGGGCTTATGGCAGCCCAACGACCATAAGCCCGCTTAGAATGGGCGGGCTTGATTATGAAAAAAAATAAATTTTTGCGGGTTCGATCTCATAAGTATGTTTAGTGATTGCCTATGAAAAAATTAAACTTTTGTGGGCTTGGCTATGAAAAAAATAACACTTGCAGGCTTGGCCATACCCCAAGCCCGACCCGCCCAATGGACTGGGCTCATAAATATATTTCGTGATTGCAAGTTTTTTAGGCGATTAATTTCCTCATCCTTTCTCATCTTTATCTAACCACAAATTTTAATTTTTATATTAATACCAACAAAATCTATTATATCACATAAAAATTATCACTTTTATTTTTTTTTTAAATGACATGCAATTTTCATCCATATACAAGATGACAAATATGTAAAAATTGAAGTCCAGGTAATTTGACAAAAATTGAGTAGTATGTATGTAAATTTTTTTTTGTGGTATTTTACTTAATTCCTTCGTATTACATATTGAGATGTTCTCAGTTTAAAATCTTATGTATTTTGTGTATGCATTTGCTATTAAATTCATTTAAACATATAAGAAAAAATAGTACATATAAAATCAATTTAAATCTCTGCTGCACATCATTTCGTATTTCAAATGTTCATATTACAATTTTTTTTTAATATTTTAAATCAATAGCATGTTTCTAGAGAAAATGTTAAAGATTTTATTATTTATTTATTTTCTGGTAGAAAAAAATCACTTTTCTTTTAAAGTCCATAGCGGCCTGCAAGCTGCCTCGACCATTTAGTGGGCAGTTCTGACTATGAAATTATAAATAGAATACGGGCTCAAGCCCGACCCGAGCCCGATTTGACTAGTCAAAGCCTAAATAAGCACGGCCCACGCCAAACCCCGCCCACACACACCCAAATCTAGTCCGGAGTATCTAGAATCTCTCTTGAACATCTGATAATTCTTGGTAAAGAGTAGCCACCATTTTCTCCATTCTCCCCATTTTCTCCACATGAGCCAGTATCTCTCGCACTCATCGCCTTATTAGATCCCTGCAAACCATGCTAAGAAGTTCTTGATCATGTCTAGGCAGCTAGCCAACGATCTGGGAGATCTGGCACCCATTAGCTACTTCCCTGCGAGTCTCGACAGGATTGTCTGGGCGGTCAACCCAACCATCCTTGCTCGAGAGGCAATCACACTCGGCTGGCGCCTGGGCAGCCATCGCTGACACCATGGTTGGATTCTTGCCCGCGTTCGTCGGAGGTAGTCATCATCCAGAATTTTTAGAGTCACGCCAACTACACCAAGAGACAACGTAAAGGAAAAAGTACTTAAAAAAAAATCAAAATCTAACAAGTAAGACCGAGGCTCCTCATACCAAATATTCGATTTAGCTCAAATGTTAAAATCGACATACAACCCTCACCATGCAGCGATATATCACAAGTAGCTTCTTGTGTGGCTCGTTCGATCAATAGGTCTTATGCCATAGTAGAAGGTTGAGCTGACTAATCGATGGTCATGTCAGCAGCTTGAACATTCCTCCACTTAGTGTCGAGGCAAGAATCGGACGAACCCAACTAATCTGCTAGTGCAATTGGTTTTCTTTTCTTAATGATGGTTTTGTTTTTGATTTCACATTTTGGGCAGTACCACGCATTCAATCTCTTGAAGCAACACGAAGTTGATCTTCGCTTGGGATATCGCCTGGGAGATTTGACTTGTTTTTCATCATAACAGTAGGAAGCCAATCAATTCAAGTGAGTGGGTTTAAGTATCAAATAAGGAATGAGAAGAGTCCCTTCACTCCTTATTTATAAGATTCAGAGGTGAAGAAAACAATGGTTTTAGTTATTAAATCATTAATTGTGATATGCTTTTGCATTAACTTATCTTATTCTTAGCTCAACATCGCTTTCAAGAAGAAGATCAAAGAGCTTAAATATGCACATAAAAAATGTTTCAGCGCTGATACTCAAGAGATTTAACGATACAAAAGAAAAAAGTACGACGAAGGAGTGCTCATCTATAGAAAACTATGAGGTCCAATCGTTCAACTGAGTGAACCTGTTTAAGCCAAAAGTTGTAGACCAAAGCCGATCGAACCACCAGACAGACCGAAGACGCTCGGAAGATACAAGAACGAGACTTAGATAGAAACTAGACAAAAAGGTCATTCACGTTAATAGTCACAAGAGAGCAATTCAAGGAAAATCTAGTTCCCTAACATCATCAACCATCCCAGAGGCATCCAAAGATCCCTCATTAGGGAGTACAGGATTGACAGGTGGGTAACTGGCAAACCCATAAATGTCAAAATCAACCTGTTGAGCTGATCCAATCTAGTCGAGAGGATCTCAACCAATTGAGTTGATATTGTCGATCTAAAGCCGATTAACGACAATTGACTCATACATGTAAAATACCAACAAAATCATAATAGAAGCCACATAAAAGATGAGACAAAATTATAACATGATGATATTGTACCATAGAGGAATCATTTTATGATTAAGACAAACTATTACTATTCATTATTGTTTGCTCTCTCTCTCTCTCTCTCTCTCTCTCTCTCTCTCTCTCTCTCACTCACGTTATATTCCTTGGCGTGATTCACGAGCTAATCATAATTCAAAACTAGGCCTATACTTTTCAGCAGAAAGGACAGCCTTATTTCAATTGAAAGATTTAATTTTTATTAGAATATTTTATTTATCTATAACATACTTAAACCAGAGATATTTTTTGATTGTATCTTATATCACCTCTAAATCAATATAAGATTTTAAGGGCCTGTTCGTTTAGCTGTAAAATAAGTATAATATACCAATTGCAAGAATTTTAAATTTTTTGGCAATTGATTGAAAGAAAAAAAAAGCTTAAATAATCTGTTGAGGGTTTTAGGTTCATCATCATGCTTTTCAAATTTTTCCATGCCAAGTGAACCAACATGTCTTTTTGCACGGCGATGAGATACTTGGATCTTGAGAAGCACTTAAATCTTTTAAATAAAATAATTTATTTAAAAAATATATGAGAATTATAAATCTTTATTTTTTTTAATTAAACAAAAAACCTTTTTTTAAAATCAACACTAGTAGATGTGATTACAAAATAATTCACATCATAAAACTTTATAAAAAGAAAGAACAAAAATGATTTCCCAAACAAAATTATTATTACATTCTGAAAAACAAATGATCTGTCCGAACGTGCGGACGTCCAATCACCGGTGCCCACGTCGCCTGCCAGGGTCACTTCATCCACCGCTGACATATATGACAGCGTGGTCGCCGATGGTTGGCTCGTACGGACATGCGGTGTCCGGATGGAACATTTTATCCCTGAACAGACCCAAGTCTTAATTCTATGCCATCACCACTCATGAAGAAAACACACTTCAAAAAATAATTCAATAAAAACTGCGCATGAATAAATATGCAAAGTTCACTAAACAAACAAAATGATATCCAAATATAGAAAAACATGTCCCAAACAAAGTTCAGCTCAGCAGTTAAAAAAATAAGTTCAGAAAAAGATTTCATCACTAGAGAAGAAAAGGTACAGCCAAAAATAAACTGACAATTCAATCTAGAACTTAAGTTCATGAGGCTTCATGCCATCTTTAAGAGAAAATCTCGCACCTAAATAAGAGCGAAGATCTGGTACTGCGTCTATGGCTTTCAACAATGGCTCGTCCACAGCTTTCTGATCATCTTTCCTGTCTTGCGGTAGAGATTTCTTCTCCTATATTTTCGACATAAAACAGAGTTAGATAACAAGGAAGAGCAAAGTTTAGGGGTAGATATGTAAATATATAAGAATTGGGTGATGTGTATGTATGTCATCAGTTCACAAAAATACCTCTTTATCAGCTTCAAAGAATTCTCCCTCAGTTTTCTTCTTCTTCCTTTCCTTTTCTTTGCTGAATAACTTGTCAGTGAATTTGTCGACATTGATCCCAGAAATATCAACCTTTGTTGACGTGCCAATGACGTAAGCCTGGTTTACACGTCTAAGGGGTACACCATTGATCTTAAAGGGGCCTATGAGAAGGTGAAAAACAATAAAATTTAACTATAAAGGCGATACATCTACCATTTGAATGGACTAAAAATAGAGAATTACAAAGTAGAGATTTACATCAAAATATTTCAAATATAACAAACCTATCACTAAGCTTAAATTGGATTTACTGAATTAGCAGACATGAAAATCAGAGTTGTATGGCTCAATATTGTCTTTAATCTAATATTGCATTGTTTAATAATAAAAAAGAGTTTGTTTTGGTTTTCATACATTAATAAGTTGATGTTCTCTGAAGAACAAGAATGTTTTTCATATACTGAACTAACATTTTTTGCTCTGGCTGCAGTAAATATTCTTAACTGGTGATTCCTCTTCCAAAATTTCCAAAATTCAACATGACAATGATTTAGGCATATTTTAGCAAAATGTCCAAAATGGGGTTTCGGTTTCATGCTCTTATTAATTTAATGTTTCACAATAGGATCATGAATAGATCCAAATTGAATTTCATACACATGCAAGGTCATTGAGTGTTTACAAAAAAAAAAAAAAAAGTATTCGAAGTCAGCTTAGAACTGATGTTTCCAATAGTTAGGACATTAAAAAATGTAGAAGAATAATTATAATAATGCAGGATACAGCACAAAATAAAGGTTTAGAAGTAATAGAACGAAGATAAATTACATTAGGAGAATTTTAATGATTATGAAATTGAGTGATATCAAACTGTGTAAGGTTTATATAGATTGCATTTATTATAGAAAATAATGAGAAATAAATACATAATTTTATGTAGATTACATAATTTTAATGGATTTATATTAAATGGATTTAAAGAAAAAAAATATCACATAGCAGCAATTAGAATAATTATACTTTATGCATATAAACTGTGGATAACTAAGGCTCCAAAATATTTTTTCCTGGTTTTACTTGCTTTAACTAGGGCTGTCAAAACACCTCTTTGTTCGCGAACATCTAGTGTCAGGCTTGTTAAGAAGCTCGTGTTTGATTCTTCGCTAAGTTACCGAACCAAACACAAGCATTATTTTTGCCCTTATTTATAAATGAGCCTAACAAAAACAAATCTTTGTGCTTATTTACAAATGAGCCTAACAAGAACAAAGATTTGTTTGTTTGTATTCAGCTCATTTTAGCTCAAAATACTACTCATATATCTATATATCTATATATAGATATAATCAATTAAAATTATTAATTAAAAGAATAGAATAGTAATATATTAAATTATATTTAAATTATGTTTTCATAAATCTATATATCTACGCTTATGTGACTAGGGTTGTCAAAATAACTGCTTGTTCGCAAGTAGCTCATGTTCGGCTCGCTAAGCAAATAATTCGAACACGAACACATTTTTTGTGTTCGAAATATAAATAAGCCGAATAAGCCGAACGCAAACTGAGTCTAGGCACACTCGTGTTCAGCTTGTTTACACTCATAGCTTTGACATTAGAGTTAATTCTAAAATGTAAGGCATAACAACAATGAGAAGAAGTTCAACAATTAGTCTAACTATACACGGTCTAAATTGCGCAATTTGATGCATGACTTGAAGCCCACTATAGCAAAATTCTGAATAAAAGAGCTTTGAGGCAACAATCTGGGCTAGGTGTACGCCACACATTGCTTGACGCACCCCTCGCTTCAATTCCACTGAGGAATGCACCTCTCGCACTTCATATTTTCTCCCTTATTAAATGGTTCGAGTATGAAATAAAGTCACACTATCATACAAAAGAGCTCCCCTCTCCCAAGTCAAGCCTCCCAACGTCACACACAAACATATATATATATATATATATATATATATATTACCCTTTATTTTGACTTCTAGTAAATAATGGGGCTTACACCTAAGACAATCTTGAATCTTAAGGCTGGCCTCACGAGCAAAACTGCAGTAATACCTAATTACGCAAATTTAAACATTGGAATTATATATTTCTCATAAGCATATTTTACATGGTTTCCAAAAAAACACGCCATTCTACAAATGTTTAGCATTCTATCTTATTATTTAATTCTTTATTTGATTTATTTAATAACAATGGGGCATACTTATAAGACAATTTAGTCTTAAGCCTGGCCTCACGCACAAAACCACCTTAATATCCAACTGCACAAATTTAAACATTGGAAGTATAAATTTCTCATAATAATAGTTTACTTGGTTTTCAGAAAAAGATGGCATTCTACAAATTTTAAGCATTCTACCTTATTTGTTAATTCATTATTTGATTTATTTAATAATAAACAAAGAATAGGCTATTATATTAAAATTATATAAGATTCATAAAATATCAATTTCAATCATTTTGTTGACTCATAACAATGCCCAACAATTTTTTACAAGCTGCCCCCACAACTCTTACAGCACTTCAAAGAACATTTTTAACAAAGATTTTATCAATAACTCAGCGCAAAATAGTACCATATAGCATTGAGAATAAAAAACGTGAGACATTAATGCCAAATGAAACTTAAGATGTTAGACAATTAGGCATTAATGAGTATAAGGATGGGCAAAAAACTAAAAAAATTGAGTGATAAACTGGTGTATAGGAAAATGAGAATACTATGCATTGATGGTAAGACAAAATAAACTTACGAATTAGGCATGTCAAATAAACGTGAGAAACACAGTGATAAAGATAACATATAGATAACATGAAAGTAATAGAAAAAGAATAAACCAAAGATAACTGAACATTTTGCAGAAATACTGATCCATTAGAGTAAAAACCCAATGGGGTGCTTAAATATAATTAATGCCAAATAATTCATTGTTGATCCGACTCCAACAATTCCTCATCATCCGGCACGAATCTCAAGGCATGACACGGATCTCAAGACTCCTTTGAACAAGAAATATTCAAATATAGATAAAAAGTCATCCATAGGTCTGATTTCAACAAACTTACAGTCAAACTAACCGGCTCGATAAAACGAACCCAATGGTACGAACATTGATCCAATCTAAACCAAATCAAGTCATAATCAAACAATTAAATCATGTTTCAGAAATTTTCCGGACACATTTGAAAGGTTAAATAAATTTGAATACGACGAGTTCATAGTCAAATTAAATATCTCAACGAGACAAATCCAATGAGCCAAAAATCACTCAATTTCAACATCGACTCAAATGTACTTCAAACGACGCCTAATCGAGGGAAGCTCTCTGAGCCATCCGATCAAAGTGGTTCATATTCAAACATTCATTGCACCCAGAACTTTATAAATAGATCATCATCCCTCTCATGAGGGAGGAGGAGACTTTGATACTGGATAAAGGAGCTGAACTATGACATCACCTCGTCGCCCCCATCAATCACCTCCGACAATCGCCAACCATAGGTCGTCAACTGCCGCCGACCATCTTTGGTCGATTATCACCAATCACCATCGGTTACCGCTTGTCCCTTGCAATAAGCTTATCCGCACATCGACGTTGTAATTCGGAACAAGGGATGACTTTATAATCATCAACTTATAGTGAAGTTTTATAATTAAGCCAAACTCCGTGGTTTTTTCACTTTTTGAGTTTTCCAAGAAAAAAATTCTAGTGTTTCTACTAATTGTTTTTCTTCTATCTGATTGTGTGTTGAATCTTCGTGCAACACTAAAACAATCTATTACTCTGCTGTTGTGAATCTTCTAACGTGCATCAATAGTCTTTGTAGCTAGGACAAATATAATGATGACGAAGAATATTCAACAAACGCGCTTCAATCAGCTGGAAAATAATCTTAAACTGAAAATTTTTACTCAACTTAAATCTTATTCAAGACAAATTAGAAGTTTGTTTTTGTTAAAATGTGCTCATTAGAACTCAACAAGATAATCGTAGAATTCATTCTTATCCCATGCAGCAGACCTATATTACAAAAAAGTTCAAAAGCAAACAAAATCTTAAATAACTAGAAATATGCACCTTAGAACCATATTTATGTACCTCAAGATATATAAACATATTCTATAAAGTTTAAATATGTATCATGGGTTGTGTAAAATGGAAAAAACTAAATAAATAATGGAAAATTACACACATCCCACCGATTTCCTAAATATTTACATATCTAACACCTACACTTTTTTATTTACATTTATACCACCCAAAATTTTCATATCACATAAAAAATACAACTACTGTAACTTTTTAAAAAGCAAAATACAATTTTAACTCATGAGTAAGGTTCAATATATGTTAAAGTTGAAGTGTAAGTGCTAGATATGTAAATACATCAGAATTGAGTCGTATGTATGTAAATCTTCTATTAAATAAATAAACATCAGCAGATGAAAGTAAAGATTGAGGAATAATGTTGAAAAAAGCATTTTGAGTTGCAATAAGCAATGATAATTGAAGCTCAAAACTCCAATCACCGTCATACCATAATATTTCAAAACTCAATTAACGAAGCATCAATAGCACCACTCCTTATGCCAAATCACAATGGTTACGATATTCAATAAAAGATCCATGCAATAATGTATCGAAAAAATTCAATTTTGTAAAAAATTCAATATAATGATAAGTGAAGCTCAAAACTCTAATCACCAACATACCTTAATATTTCAAAACTCAATTAATGAAACATCAATAACACCACTCCTTGTACCAAATCAAAATGGTTACAATTATCATAAAGCCAATCTATGCAGTAATATATCGTAAAACTTCAATTGTGAAAAAATAGTCTTCAGATGTCTTCAAAAACATCATTTACACATAGTTGAAGCTAAAATTATCTCCAACAGAGATGCAGAATATTTCTAATCAAGTTGGGGAAACCACTTACCAAGAAATATTTCAACCAGTCATATCAGTAATAACGCATGCAAATCGGGCCCTTAGACATATAACTTGCCTCAACTGTGTCCAACCAAAAACTCTTATAAAGCTAAGCAGTAGACGCACCACTACCGAACCAAAACTTAGAATTTACTTCAAAAATCAAGTTGCTTCTCACAGGTTAGGTAAGTAAATAAACCAACAATGTATGAAATCTCACCGGTAACCAGAAGCAATCCAGAAGGCAGCTGCTTTAGGAAAACAACCCTCTTTCCCATAAACCTCCCGGCCAGAAGAATCAGTACCGTGCCTGGTGTGATACTCGCCCTAGTACCAAAATGCGCGCATCAAAAAACCACCGGACATGCATCATAGACAGAAAAAAACCACTTTTCCCAAGAGAAACAGCAGTAGCAAAAGATTTCACAGACCTGAGCTTGGTTGGCTTGTGCTTGCGGGGAGTGCGGGTAGAAACTTTGACATCATCGGCTGGATAATACTTCGGCGGCTTCTCCGCAGGTTTCTCTGGTTTCTCCTTCGGATCATGGTGAGGAAACTTGCCGCCGTTCTTCGCTTTGATTGCCCAAAGGCCCCGCTTGTGATACATCTTTGAGCGCGATAGCTTCCCGATCCCGCGGATCAGATCAGGATTACGGCTTGTGGTTCTCGGCTTCCTTGGAGCCATCTCGGAACGATGGAGGCGATGATCGGGAGGATGAATGGAGGAGCACAATAAACCCTAGATAGACGTGATTTATAGAGTATAATTGTCCGAAACCTAATCGATTGCCGTCAAAAAAGTTTTAACCAAAATGGACGGTACGATGAGGAGGTAACCAAAATAATTTTTTAAAATTTATTATTTCTCTTTTGAATTCTAGAATGGGTCTAATTATTGCGTGCGGAGAGCGCACACACCGCATGCAGACTTGTGCTTGCGCTCTCCGATCACAGCCGCGCATTGAGCCCGTATGACAGTGAGACCCACAGTCATACAACCGCGATTTGATCGAAGAGCTCACGCAGCTCAGCGTGCGCTCGCCGCACGCAATAATCACTCCTAAAAAGACGAGTAACAAATTAAAGAATGATGCCGCAACAATTAAATTATAACAATTTCATCATAAATGCAAGAGAGATAATTTCATCCTAAATGAATTTTCAAACAAAATTCTCGAGTGCAACAAATAATTAACATAATTCTTAAATTACAAAATCATTTTTATTCTAATAGAACGAGAGATGGATGATGCAATGGATAAAAAATTGTTTTAGCTTACTTAAGTATACTTATGCTAATAGAGTTTCTTATGCTACTAGTATAAACCTTAAACATGTACAGCAGCTAGGGCTGTAGTATATCTGAGTCAAGTATGTCATAGTTTGGACAGAGTTGTAAAATTGGCTCAAAAATCTTAAATTGCTCGAAAATCAGATTGAATTGTAGCTTGGATTAGACCATTCGAGCCGAGCTATGAGCCAAATTAAATGATTGAATTTATTACGATCTGATTTCAATCCATCCTCAGCTCGTATCAGGATCAAAATAAATTCTTTTGTATTTACGTATTTAAAACCTAAATTTTTAGTTTTAATTGCAACGAATGGTCAGCTCGTTTAGTTAGGGATTTTCCCTTGAGGGGAATGGCTGGGGTTCAAGTCCCCTCATTTCACAAAAACAATTACAACTTTTGTTGGTAAGCTGGTCCGGGCCGGGCAGGCCAAGTCTAATTTGAGTTGTACCAATTTAGTACAAAAAATGACATTCAAGCAGGCTTGTTTACAATTCAAGTCAGCTTAAAAATTAAATTGATCCTCACAAGATCGGATTGAAATTTAGGATGATTGATGCACGATCCAATTTCAAGTCAATCTTGGATTAGCTTGAAATCAAATCGTTCACACCACTAAGTTTGGGCACTGCTCGATTGAATCAAGCATTATTCATGTTCAGCGCAAACTTGAGATAAACTTCCACATATTTGACTTTGTTAAAATTTGTAATGCTCGTACTTAATTTGTACTTAATTTTAATTATTTATATTAATTAAAAAACTAAAATTTTGAATAAATATTTTATTTTTTATGTAAAATAAAATTTTGATTTGCACTTAATTTTTCATATAATATTAATAAACAAGTTAAAATTTTCAAATAATACTTAAATTTTAATATGAAATTATTAACAAATGATCATTTCAATCTAAATAAATATCAGATTGAATAGATTTTAAACTAAAATCTAACAAACTTATACCAAACAAATAAATTAATATATGTTATAAATAAGTATTCCTGCAATCAAATAAAATAATTAATAAAAAAAAAAAAAAAAAAAAAAAAAAACAATCTTCAGAGTGAAGCAATGTCGTCACTTGACAAGCTGAATTAAATTATATTTGAAGACATCATTTCTAATTTCAAAATTCCCAAAAAGAAATCAACCAAAGCCAACCTCATAACTACAGCCTGCTTAGCAACCTATACAAAGTAGAATGGCTTGAGCCAAATCAGAATCATTCAAGCAACTTAAGAACTCCTGACTTTCATGCAGTATAAATCCACCATTAAAACACAGAATTATACATATCTTGAATCACAGAAAAAATCCAAACAGAATTTCATATTTCAAAAGATGTAAAAATGCCGGCCGGTGTCTGCACCTGAACAATATTATATAATGAAGTGCTAAAAGCTTAAGCACCTTCTGGCTGGATAAATGGGTTGGCGATTTCATCTGTGCCGTCCGTCGGCGAAACAAGCATCACAGCAGTTCCCCTGCAAACCTGTAGCAAAATGGAACCAAGCACTCAAATCATGCTCTTAACATGCAGGGAATTGTACAAAGGGATAATATTATTTGGCAAATTTGCATGCATATCTCACTCATTTCCTATGTATCGACATATTTAACATCTATACTTCAATTTTTAGATACAGAACATCTTACCAATGCATGAAAAGATATACTTCACCTTTTAAAGTAAAAATGGCCGTAAATACAAATACAAAGTTTATACGACATGAATGATTGCAAAGTTTAGGTGTCATATGTGCAAATACAAAGGAATTCCGTGGTATGCATGTAAGTGCCATTTAAACATATAATCATTATGTGTAAATGCAAAGTTTAGATGTTAAACGTGTAAATACAAAGGAATTGTGTGGCCATATCATCTTTATTGATGAATAAACAAAACAATTTAAGGAGCCGGGTGCGACGACAAAAGAATCCTAGACATTTTCATATTTCAGAATATATAAATTTAATTCATACCACAACCATATGCCAATTAAGAAAATAAATGTGCATTTACCTGACTACTTTCCGGCATTTTATTTATTTATAGATTTAAACATATGAAAATAATGACAGTTGACAGCGAAATGCGTTGTTAATTTTTTTAAGGGAAGAAGGCTGGTTTCCTTTGTCATATAATATAGCAATGCCTAAGAAATTCAGCACAGCCACTATGCACCCCATACCATTCGCTGAAGGTCAGTGTATCAGACTATTGCCACTAAATAATAAAAGCTAAAAAAATCTACATAAATACCACGCAATTCTAAGGTATTTACATATCTAACAACTAAAATTTGATATTTACATTTGTAACACTTTGGTATCATAATCTCATAATCTAAAATATAACATATTAACATCTTAATACAGTAAAAATAAGAAACTATTTATAGTAAGAATTAACATATTACCATTTAAACATTAAATCATAAAATAAAAAGACATGCAAGTAACAAAAAGACACAATAACTTGGCAATTTAAAATAAGTTCAATTCAATTAATTATCTCATGCTTTTACAGGTATTCATCAAAGTATTTAACAAGCCACTAAGGTTATAATTTCTAAATTCAAAAATATTCACCACTCTTAAGTGTTCATTAGAATCAACCACCTATAATTTCGTCTCAATTAATTGTATCCATGATTTCTCATTTTACTTCATCTTAAATCTCAATTATCTTCTTCTTATTAAATCAATATTTAATTAATAAGAATATACATAAATTTAAAAAAAAAACTACTATATTGAAATAACAACTGCAGTTATATATTATTTGTGTATAATATAATTAAGGAATATTTATTAGGGTTATTTTATTATATTTATTTTTTAAAAAAAAATCTAAATCTATTGTGTAAGCCTCACCAAAACTGGTGAGGCTCGTCTTGAGATGAGCGACAAATTATGTGAAGCGTAAATCTCAGGCAATACCCAATGAAGCAAAAGCCTCGCCTCATTGCAAATTTTTCAAAAAATCATTGAACAATAATTTTGTAATTTCTGTATTTTAGAACATGCTTGTGATGATGGACTTGAGAAAGGGATGTCTTTACATCCTAACATTAAGTAGGCTTTCTATGATTTAACATGAGCTCAGGTAAATTTGGTTGTGTTTTCAAGTTCAACATTGTTACTGGTTTAGAATTATCAATTTCCGAAATCACTTATGCGATACCGGCTGGTGGAGGTTCTCAGCAACGATTGATATTCACGTCAGGCTTCGTTATCAGTATTCTGCTGCTTTAGAACTATTGTAGGCGAATTGAAGGGCAGTCATCAACTGCGGTTGGTTGGCGCCAGTCAGTGTATTGGAGCCTCACATGTAGGGGTGTAAACGAACCGAACACGAACGAAAAAAGCTTGTGTTCGTGTCCGGCTCGTTTTAAATTTAGTTTGTTTGAAATAAGCTCGTGTTCGTTTCTTAACGAACAAGCCGAACACGAACCGAACACGAGCTGTTCGCGAACGACGAGCCAGGTTGACATCCCTAATATTAATATATAAAAATAATATTATATATTAATTATATAACTTATATTATATAAATATACAATATCTATATTAGTATATTACTACTATAGTATATTAATATATTATTATTATTATTATTTTATTATATATTATAATTTATAAAATTTAATGTTTTAAAATATAATAAATTATATATATATAATTATTTTATATTATTTTATATTTCAAACAATAACGATTCGAACACGAACGAACGCATCACTGTTCGTGTTTGGTTCGTTTAACTAACCTAACAAAAAAAATTTGTTCGCGTTTGTCTCGTTTACTTATCGAACGAATCGAACACGAACTCGTTGACGAACCGAACATGAACTGTTCGCGAACAACGAGCTTTTTTGACAGCCCTACTCACATGTGCTGCCTTTTGAATATAGAGAAAATTCTGATTAGGAATATTATATTAATTTATATTAATTAATTAGTGAGGAAAAAAATGTGGAAGGGAATACTAACTTAATTCTCGTTATCAATCTTCAACCATAAGGCTTAATATATAAGGAAACTAGTCTCTCCTAATTTATCATCTTATCAAATATAAACTGACATTTGAAATAAACATAGGTAGGAAGAGAATAAAAAATAATCAAGGAGTCTCCTAAATTATCTCCAATTAATCCATTCCTCAATCCTTAGATGGTCAGCCCGGACTTACCATGGATAAAAGGCTGATCCTCCTAGATTTTCGTACTACACCTCAAGTTGGGTCGTAGATGTCGTAGAGACAATAGCTTGCTTCTTACTTCCCCATGTGACCACATTTCTCCATACATAGGAGTAATAACCTACGGTGGACTTTCTGTCAATTAAGTTTCCCAGCCCAACTTTTATCGGTGTAGACTTCTATGTCTCTATTTTTGGTTCATCAGTGTACACATCTATGGAATCTTCTTGAGAAAAATTGGGATTTTGTACACCACCTCGAAATGTTATTTATTTGGGTTATTCATATGTTGGTCCACAATATTGACAGAGTATGCAATATCTAGCCTAGTATGTGACAGAAATATGAGTTTTCCTACTAAGATTTGATATATTCTCTTATCCATAGATATACATTATTCTCCCCTATTAGACTTTATGTTGGGATCCATTAGAGTATCAGCAAGTTGGCATCCAATCATCCTCGACTCCTTTAGCAATTCTAAGATATATTTCCTCTATGATATAACAATGCCCTTTTTGGACCTTGTTATCTCCATGCCTAAAAAATATCTCACGGTTCATAGATCCTTGATTTCAAAATCAGTAGCAAGCACTTTTTAATTTTAAGAATTTCTCATTCATCATCCCCAACAAGAATCAAATCATCCACATAAACTACAAGTACAACAATCTTATCTCCATAAATGTGTTTTATGAACAGCGTATAAGAATATCCATGAGATCTCATAGTTTTAGCAAACATTTCAAACTATATTATTGGTGATTGCTTAATAATATAGAAAGACTTCTAAGTTTGCTTACTAAGTGTTTGTTGGTATCTCCATGCACGCTTTTTCAAGATTCCTATTTAGGAAGGAAATTTTTATGTCAAATTAATGCGGTCCCCACTCCTTGTTAATTGCTATTGAGAAGAGAACTCTGATAGTGTTAAATTTGACAAATGCCTCCTAATAGTCAATCCCATAGCCTTAGTGAAACCTTTTGCAACTATTCTAGTTTTAATCTCTCAATATCACCATCAGTTCTGTACTTGATGTTGAATACCCATTTATATCAAACTGGCCTCCTATCCTAAGTAGTTTAATAAGAATTCATGTGTCATTATGCTTTAGAGCTTGAATATCTTCTTCAACTGATCTTCTCCATTTTGGATTTTTAGAAGTTTCATGAATGGATTTAGGAATCTATATACTACAATGTTAGATACAAAAACTTTATATGGTGAGGATAACTTCTCATTCGCTACATACCCCTGAATTGGATATTTAGTACAACTTTACTCATCAACACCAAAAGAGGAAGAAGATAACTCATGAGTTCAAGACTCCTCGCCCAAAATTTCAGGTGAGTGCGAACTCAATTTTTTACTTGCGTGGTTCTGTCTTTGCAAAATGTCTTCCACATGCTCAAGGTTTTTCTTCTTCCTTGTGCACACACAATTATTTGTTATAAACTTTAGGTTAGGTTGGTTGGACATCCTCAAGTAGAATATTTTCATGCATTGGTGTTTGGGAGATATAAGGGCTAAGTGGAAGAGGGGCAGTTTGAGTGACAGCGTAACTGTCATTAAGTGCATCAAAAAAATAATATTTATTTGCACTCTCCCTCTGAACATCACATTTGGGATAGATTTTAAAAGAATGTGACATTCATGGAGTTGTAGTATTTTCTGGTAACATGTGAGTGACACAGATAACCCTTTTTATTGAAAGCATACCCAAAAAAAAATACATTTGATAGATTTATGGCCATGTTTTGTGTGGTTTGGGGAATGTATGTAAACAAAAGATGCACATAAAAATTTTTAGTAGTACAGTAGAAGAGAAAACTCTAATGAGAGGATATATATCCATCAAGATATGAAGTGGTGTATTGAAATTAAATATCCAGCTAGACATTTGATTGATAAGGTATGTTGCATTAAGAATTGCTTCCCCATAAAAATGTTTTGAAACTCCTGGGTAATCATAATTGAGCGTCTGTTTTTTCTCTCAATTATCTCATTTTTTGTGGGGCAAAAATACACGAACTCATATGGATGATTTAATTTTTTGAAAAGTAGGATCCAATGATGGAGTTGAAATATTCATTTCCTTTACATTATCAGTTTTGAGGATATGAATTTTGCATTGGAATTGAGTTTAAATCATGTCATGGAAGGTTCAAAAGATTAGGGTTATTATAGATTTCTCCTTTATTAGGAACACCAAAGTAATTCTTGTGTGGTCTTCAATAAATAAGACAAATCATCTAGCCCCACTTAGAGTTCTTACTTTTGACGGTCCC